AAAAAAATTTCATTCCGCGAGACTGAAACCCTTATACTCAGAAGACGACCAGACGGCTAGCAATAAACCTGAAGAAAGGCATTGGGAGATTGCAGCAATTCTCCGGCCAAAGATCGACGAAAAGGTACCATCTTTGACAGCATCTCATGCTGCTAAGTAGCACCTTTTGAATACAGGATCCGGGGAAGAGGGAATACCTTGTTGTGTGGAAGGATTGGCCTTGGCACGACCAGTGGAGTTTAACACCAGAAAGTTTTGATGGTGGTGGACATCGTGTAATAATATATCGAATTGTTATAACATCAGAACTTTCACTTTTTTTGTAATAGATGGCTGCAGCAGACACTCGTGAACGCTTAGTTTCGCAAATGGGAGCCTACATGCGGCACAAGGACAAAGAGACCTTTGACGAAATGTTTCCAGCATTTCGTCGTCGCCACGATTTTACTGTACGTTAGTTTTATCAGTTCTGAATACAGTATTGTAGTAACTCTCATAATTGAGTCTATTATATGAAATGAAAGTTGAGGTTAGGATTAGCGAATTGAAGAGAAACACGTCTTGCCGCCTTGCGCTATAAAACATTGTCTGGTTTTACTATGAAATGTGTTGCAGTGAATGGAGCGTAACTTGTGGATTTCATTTTTTGAAGGAGTTATCTGCATTCTTCCTGCCAATAAAGGCATGCAGACCTGTGAAAATCATAAGAGAGTTCAATTTTCATTTGTTTCTGGGGAGATTGGTGATTATCGCACATTAATCTGCTGTATAAGGATCCGAGCATTTAAGGGATTCTACGAGACTATTTTTTGAAGAGCTCACATTAGTATCGTCAGCTGTTCAACCTTAGCAGCTTTCGAAATTTGAAGAATATTAAGTGTTATTAGATTTATTAGCTATCAAATAGTGGCACTTCAGACATCTTTGTACTTTACAGAACGGCTATAGGGTACAGCTTCGTCTTACCGAACAAGCAATAAATGACGAGCTTGAAGATCTTGGAATGGCTCCAATTTACATAGAGAATTGGACTAAAGATGAGCGCGCTTTTATCAACGTGAAGGTTGTTTGTTTGCTAATCCTTATTTAATTTTTAATTATCACCAATTGGAGCATTTAAGATGAAGAGAAAAAAGCTGAGAATATTTTCACCATTTATGGGAAATGCTCGGCACAAAGTAGCAGTCTTTTCGACAAAAATTTTTCACAATTAAGATAGGAAAATTGATCATAATATGAAGCAGAGAGCTCAGCGCGTAGTGAACTAACCAAAATTTTCCCGCTCTAGCAAATAAAGAAACAAATCTGGAAGAGATTATAAGCTTTGACCTTCAAATTTTCGTAAAAATTTTCACAAGTGTGCAGTTGTCAGCGTTTTTCCGCTGTGTTAGAATCAGGATAGTCACAAGTTTAAGGAAAAATAGAGGTTTGATTAAGAAAGCCTTCAGAATAAGTACACACAACCTCATCAATTATTATGGGAATCCTCGCCTATGTACGAGGAGCTAGGAAACGCGTCAAGCTATTGCACTCGGTAAAAGTAATCTGATAGCAATTAACGATGTTCATTCATCATATTTAGCCACCTTTTGTTTGGTAGACGCTGAAGAAAGATATGTTTCATCTGCGTTTTGAACTAGATGAAGCGCATTTGAGCACTATGAGGAGGGGGAGAGGCGGCGTACCTCGCGGCGTTGCCGAGCCTTCACATTATAAATATTAAGTGATCATACTTTCTGATAATTATGTCTGCGCTAGTCGCAGCTCCATGGAAAAATGAAGCGTCAATGTGCATAACTCTGCGGATCCGCAACGACGACTGCGCAATCCACGGGTGGGTACGCAATATGGGATGCTTACGACGAGCGGTCCACGGCTAATTCGCACTTTTCTGATCGTCTGTATCGCTCCTTTTTATACCTTTATAGATTTTCAATATGTATCGATGAAAAAGTGGTTCATCTTCCAACAAAAGCAACGAAAAAGCTTGTTGGTCTTAGGCGCCAGAGTGTAAATGATGCGCGGTCGTCAATAGTTATATTTGGAAAACTTTTTAACTATTACGAAAAAGGACGTGGTGAAAAAGAAGAAGATTTCGCAACTGTATGAGCTTTTTGTCAGTGCTTTAAAGTGCTTGGAAACTGTAGCTACATATGGGGGTCCACTAATAATCATTTCCTGCTCCTTTATTAAATACAGTCTTTCTTTTTAAACTTGTTTGTAGATACTTGAATGATGCGGGAATTTCTCTAATACACTGATTTGGCATAACAGCACTTTATGAAATTTCAAAATAAAGATTGTGGACAAACAAGTATATCCATGATAAAAACAATCATGTGGTCAAAACAAAGCAAATTTAACAACAAAATCGAAATACAATAATGGCAATTATAAACAGAAGTCAAGTTAAAAAGAGGAATCAAGTTGAAACTTTCTGCGTTTCACTGCTATAGTCCACCCTTAGCTTGGCAGTCACGAGAGTTGTTATGGAGCAGCGTCATTACAATAATTAGTAAATATTAATAATAGAACTAATTGATAGTAATCTGTAGCAAATTAGCAAGTAAATAAACTTTGCCGAGGCTTGTCCCTGAAAACTCCGCGTTTTGAATGTTATCTGCCCATTAGCAAATTGTTATATTACTTATGCAGTGTGCCTCCATCTTCTGTTCTCTGCTTATTGTTTTCAGAGATACCAGGTATTTATACCTTATAAATTGAGATTGTTTAGTACCTGACAAGATGCGCTTTGTCAGTCTTGAATTATCGGGAAGTGAAAGCAACAGGTCGATCATTACGTCTGCAGTACCCTGATGATGGAGCTGGTTGTGATTGCAAGGATGGAATCTGTACTCCCGCTTGCCCCTGCATTAGAGTAAACGATTTTTCTTACATTACATCAAGAGATGTTTTCAGCGCTATGTTGAATATCTGTCTTTCGATTTTAAATGATGTGAAATACTCCAAGAAATAACAATTTTTGGTCGCCTTTGCTCTTCAACTATTGTTAACAATTCATTTTGCAGCTGATGGGTCGAGATCAGATTCGAATGCGAAGCAGCGGTAGAATAGATGTTGAGAAGCTTGCTGAAGCAACGACTGTAGAGTGTGGTACCACATGTTCTTGTACTTCTGATTGTCCAAGTAGATTTGCCGAGGTACGTACACCTGCATTATATGTCCGGGGGGAGGGGCGTAGGGTAGTGTACGGCGTTGCATCTAACAAATTTTTTGCGCGGGCTCTAACAACGAGATTAGGTGAAATGTTTAATTTTTAAGGATTGCATCTAGTTGGCAAGATTAGATATTGTGGGGAGGCGTGTATCATCTTTTGAAGCATTGCCACTTCTGTTCGAATTCGAGGTCATCCGCGTCTTCGCGTGTCACAAAAGCTTCACATACCTAACTGATCCATAAAGCAAGTACATTTACCCACCTCCGGTTAATTTTAGTCTGACTATGAAACTAGGGAACTACTTGAAATTTAGTTAGAAATGGAAATATTTAATACTAAGCTGTTACACAAAAAACAGCTGCCACTTTTGACGAATTTAGATTTTTTGAAATCTTATCTTAGCCTTTGGTGTCTTTGTCTGTAAAACCTTTTTTGTGCTTTTCCCGGACTGCCAAACTCATAACGCGCAGTTTCCCTTCAAAATTTCTCGCATTTCTACAAAAAGAGATTCTCGACAAAACTGTTCATTTTCTCTTGCAAGAAAGAATCTTTTATGACTGTTGGGTTGCGCCTTCAATGAAAAATTGAAGGTGATATCAAGATTAGTTTGTTGTCAGCAGACCCGCAAAACAAAATATTGTGTGGTTTGCGCTAAGTGGATTATAGGATTTTGCATTGTTTTTGAATTTCCCACTGGACCACGAAAATTTCAATAGTATGCTGTTCTTTTTTAATGTTGCGATGTCAAGCCATCACATCTTGACAGGTTTTTGGCAGAGCCGTAAAGTCAGGGAAATTGAAGATTGCAGACATAGTATCCTATGACTTTGAATTGCTTTTATGCTAGTATCTTAGCAGCTACGAACGATAATGTTGGCATGGGCATCTAATTTTAGTTCTGTAATATTTAGCAGATAAAGCCTCTGTGTGCAAGTTAAAGCACGCCAATTTGTTCCTACATTTTTGAAATTTTTTCCCCAAAATTTTGTATGCTACATTCCTCTTACAAAACAGTTGTATGGAACTGTTTTTTGTTGCTTACTGTCTATCTTCAACTTTGCGACACCTTTTAAAACTTGAGAAGAGTGAACTAAGCAGTGCGAATATGCAGTAAGATCTCAATGCAGCTAACCGAAAAGCGAAATGTCTTGTGCGATATTCAAACGAATATTGGATAAACGCAGTTTTTAGTTTCTTTTTTAGTTTTACTAATGGATAGCTAATATAGTTGGAACATTGGAAATTTC